AAAAAAAAAATCACTCATTGGAGGTCAGATCATAGGGGATGGGGTTGGTCGGGAATGAGGCTCGCAGGAGGTAAAGAGGAGGAAGAAGAAGGCCATGGGTGTGAGGTTTTGATGGCATTTTTGTCTTTTAATTAAAAAAAAGAAGGCACGTGATGCTTACATGTGAGAATTTGTTAAAAATTTGATAAAAATGACTAAATTACACCTGTTTAAAGAGTTTGAGGGTCGTTTTGTTAAAAAAAATGTTAAAGATTAAACTGTCACATTTTAAAAAAGTTGAGGACTATTTGTACAAATTACTTAAAAAAATAATATTTTTTTAAATAATTTTTCGTAATAACAAAATCATGTATTATTTATCATAATGATTTTCACGATTTGTGCTACAAAATTATATAATACTAATTATTATTATTATTATTTTAACTTGGACGGGTAATTTAAACTTTTCCTTTTAGCGGTAATGTCTAGAATTATGGCTATATCTTTTATTTTTTGTTGACATCGTTAGCCTGCGCTTGGAACTCTATGTATATGCCTAACTCAAAAAAATGCTTAATTTTTTTTATTATATATTTACTGTTTGATACATAAATTCTATTAATATGATATATTATTATGTAAATAAAAAATAAAATAATAGAATCTACTTAAATATAATTCACGTATCAAATAATAAATATAAAAAATAATACTAGCATTTCTCTACTCGATTTGGGATTTTTCTAATTTGGGCCGGGGTTCATGGGCTTCAAAAACATTATCCCCAAACCCCAAACTAAACCCAAACCACTGCACCCGAACGGAAAAGCTTTAGCCACTGCCTCGCGGGCACAAAAACAACAATCATTCAAAGCGCACGCGTCAAGCTCCACTGGCAGTCCCATTGAGACAAAACAACAAACAGTTGAGCTTCATTAGCAAAAGCATACCAAGCGAGAGCGAGAAATGGGGCGCGGCGGCGGGCGAGGAGGCAGGGGGGCTCGCACTCAGCGAAGGCATTTCCGACAGAACAGAGAGAACGTTTGGAAGCGTTCCAGGTCTGATCCTTCCTCGGAGACTGACAAAAACGACGACAACAACAACAACAACAACTCCGGAAACGACAACAACAATGGTTCAAAGTCCACTTGGGAACCTTTCGCTACTCAGAACCCTTCTTTCGACGAGTTTTATAAGGTTTTTACGTCTGAATTTTATTGCTTTATCGGATCGCTGTTGATAAATGATTTGCTCAAATGGGTGTGTGTGTGTGTGTGTTTTTTTTTTTTTTTTTGGGTAATGTAGGAGCAAGGAATTGTGTCCCCTGAAGAGTGGGACTCGTTCATTGGAGTTCTCAGAACACCATTGCCAGCTGCTTTCCGCATAAACTCAAGGTGATGTCTTCAATGGCTATTTTTTTT